AAGAAATCGGATTTGTTACAATTTTTGTGGTTGTTTCTGATTTGAAATAAAATAAAAAAATCAAAATCTCCCTCTTTCCAAACGACAACTACTCAGTAAATAGCAATTATTTTTCTTAAAATTACAATTTAAAGTTGTTTTATGATTACCAAATTGGCAATTATGTAAATCGATATGGAGGTCGACAAACCCGCAACGGTATTTGATTTTTCCCAAGTGTTAAGTAGGTACACCGTTAAAAAAGTGATTCATTACCGGCACTAGAACAAACTTGAGAGGGATATTTGTTCAAATATTCTCACGCGTGGCCGATATCACCATGTCAAACTTCGTATGTTTATACTGGAAACAGTAGAAACGTTTACATACGGGAAGTAAATATAAAGTATCGATAAAAAGTCAATTTGTGTATTTGATTATTATAAGGCAATTAATAAAAAAATATTTAAATCGAAATTTACTTTTGTAAGAAGATATTTAATGTGACAAAATGTTATGTAACATCACACATTGATAGCAATCATTTTAAAATTTCTGAATTCATAAATTGCCATTTGTTTTGTGTGATTTATCACATGGCCTTTTTTAGCAAATTTATTAATTCTTTAAATAACAGAAGTACTTGCTTTGAATTTGAAATTTTGAGTAATCAAATATGCTTTTAATGAATGTCAGTACGTGAAAATTCGTCGAGTTAGAACATTAAACATACTTAATTCCAATCAATAGCAATCTGTTGTAAAAAGTGTTAAAATTTATTCATTAGTACCTGTTTCCGTTATGCTCACGAGTTTGAAAGTAAAGTGAAATATAATAAAGTTCAATTACTCACTATACGCGAAGAAAATGGGTAGTTTATTTTTTTTTTTATATTGTTATTGTGGTAAATATACGAACTCTTTTTATATTCCTTTTGTTTGTTACATTTTTTTGGTACCATTAATTAAATCGAGTTCTCAAGCTTAGTCAGCTTTTTATTCATTTGCCTGAGCATCGAACCCGTCACAGCCTGTTATTTTTTTTGACAGTTGTAGCGCAACACTATCGAGACAAGTATATAAGCAAAGCGCAGTAATATCAAACACACTTAAGGTAAAATATAAATATATCTCTATCGGTTCAAGAATTACACCTAGGCCAAGTTTGGACACCTCTCTCTACTTCAGGTCAACAGTGTTCGTTTCGCGCGCTTCACCAATATTTGTCCAATCTTCGTGTCACACTCTAACGACTTCATTCATCCATCGGTCGAGCTATTGTTCCGTCTGTCTCATAATATTTAGCCATGTTTATGTTAGGAGGGACTTTGTCACATTTTAACGCTTCAAGAGTGATTGGTATATTGTCGCACTCACTCGGGTTAATAAAATATTTTTACATAACTCCACATATAAAGAAATCGTGATGGTTTTAAATTTCAGTCATAATATCTTTAGTAATTTTATTTTATTGTTGTCTATTTTTATTATATAAAATGTATGTTGTCATCATACGTGTCAAGTAATACAATATTTGTGACACAAAAGTTTTTATTCAAAAACACACAAAGCTCTTTTTCGAAAATACCATCACAAGAGTACGCACATTATTTGATCATACCCAAAGATATGTTTGAATGATTCTCACACTATAACCCGTCTGTAGGAGACTCATTAAAAGGTGTCATTACGTTTCTCGTTCTCAGCTGCTCATGTTATCGCACTATAAAACCCTTCTGATCTTACAGCTGATATGATAATGTAATCCAATACGTCGATATCGCACTCCGGTCTTAACTACCAGTTAGGAGTAAGGTCATCAAGGCTACTTGTAGAAATTGAACCGTTTGTACCGATACGAACTTTTCTTATTTTGTAATGTATTAGATGTATTATAATCGTAAAACAGAAAAAATTGTCTCATTAGAATTCTTTTGGGTCTAATATCGCAAGTTGGCAAGTAAGTCAATATTATCGTTGTATCTAATGGTCCTTTGTGCATCTATTACAATATTTGTATGTGTTATAGATCTGTACATAATTGGGTAAAATATTAATACTTTATTTTTGTGTATGTCAAACCATAGTGTGTTATTTTGTATATAAGTAGGTATATCTTGAAAGTGTTGTATAAAATTTTTAGCTTCAAAAGAAAACAGTTGCCCACGGCCATTCTGTTATATTATCTTAGGAAAAGACCTATTTTATCAAAAGCTATTTCAGTTTAGTTTGTTGAAAGAGATTGATTTCCTAAAGTATTTTTGAACTAGACTAAATCTTTCAAAGGTCCAAGTTGTATTACATCATGATTTAAACGAAGCCCTCGGCAATAGCAAGAAGGTCGGACGCCAAGAATATTAATAGCAGTTACCTACGTATAGACGCAGAATATGAACTAACAAATCGTTCAACCTACACTCGCTGTTAAGGAGTTCGCCTCTTACATAATATTCCACAATCATTGTCACGCAAATGTAATGTCATTTACTATTACTTTTTACTAAACTTAGTGAGAAGGTTGATGGCAGTTTTTAACTACATTAAGCAACATTCGCAAATGTTGGTTATAAGATGGGTGAACTGAAAATTTATTCTTTGGATCTCCTCCGTGCTTCGGTAAATCTTACATGATTAGCTAACAGTCCTGGTTACATTTGCAGTCGTTAATAACAACCAATCCACACTGGGCCTGTGTGAAGTAATTATTGTCGTCTACTACTATCCTACTAGAAGTAATCAAGATTTCTGTACAAAATCCAATTAGGCCTGTTAGTGACCGGACCTTCCATCTAAGTTGAAAACGTTGTAACATAGGGTACTGCTCTTCTATTACTATTAATATTAGATTGATTATATTTTCTATGTCTAACAATTCTTTATTAATTATAATTCGAATACCTACCTACCTACGATGATTTTATAATTTATTTTTGTCTCGCGAAGTAGTAAATTCGTTAAATTTATCGCAAAAATTATCGCTTGTATCAGATGCAGAAAATTTTATCAATTTGAATTACTCTGATTAAAACATTGGTATCTATGTTATTAGTCAGGTGTAAGTGAACAGATTGTTTATATGTTATATGTGTACGTGTGTACTGTCTGTGTACAGTCAACAGCATGTCAGGTTATACAAAGCTGTCAAACCCCATTCGATATTAAACGTCACTACATTAATTGAGGGTAGACGTTAAAAACCATTGCGGAAAATTTACATATTGCGGTAACCTGACGTACAAGCACATGTATTATAAACATTCTCAAATTATCAATATGTAATAGTTGCTACTGCGGGAGTAGAGATCGTTTCATTTTCTTATAAAGCATTTTATTTACAGTGAAGACCGACAAATATACAGTGCGTATAGGCTAAGCAATTGTTGTTGCAATTGTTGCAAGGTCTGCTTTGGAATGGATAATAAAAAAAAACTACCTCGACCTTCTCCGTGTTTCACAATTAACGTTAATCCCTTGATCTTCACTAATAAACATTGAGTGGCATGGTAGATTTAAAAACGTTCTCTTTGTGTTTGTTTCCAATAAGAAGTCTGTTAATGCGCTAAAGAAGATGACTTTCATGTGATACCATACAAATAATTCGCTTTCGATATAGATATATCAAATGCTCTTCAAAAGCCTGGTGCAAAAAGGGTTGCTATACCTATTTAAATCACGTGACATGTGCCATAAGATTTTAGCGAGAAGAAGAGTCGCCGGTCGTTAGCGGTGATTGATTCACGCCAATCGCTGAAACACCTCAGGCGCGAGGTTTTGACACGTGAATCGATTAAGTTCGACAGTGTACTGTTCGATTGTCGAACGAACGGTCCGCGAGTAATTACAAGTCCTGAGTGTAGTGTCGCCATAATTATAATGAAATTTTTAAATAAAAAAAAAATAAAAAAATTGGCAAAGCTATTCTATTCTTTTATAGAAGAATATCAAAATAGCATGGCAGCAATTTATATATAATATTTCTTCAATATTTCGTACTAATTGTAGAAAATGGTTTTTTATATATATGGTGGGTGTTTTGTTCGTATAGGTTCTAAAAGTTAATTTTTCATTGATTTACGAGGATCGTAAATACATACGACTAAAATTATAAGAAATACTTACTGGCTTAAGATGGTAAAATAATATCTTTGTGCAATGTGTAAACATTAAATTCTAAACAAGCTATCACTTTATTCCGTTGTCAAATTAAACAACTGGGAAAAGTCGTTGGTGTCGAAATCTTTTTTAATATCCGAAGTATCGTTACCCTAACAGGAACGGATATTGAACCACAAGACCATGACACACCGATAATGAATTCTGTCCGGACTGACGCGACACAAACGCTGGAGTTTATTAGCACTACGTAATTTTAATCACGATTCAACTCTGCCTAATTCATCCTGTCGAGCAGTAATTTGGACACTTTTGATTTTAATTTATTACCAAAATAATGAACCTCCATTGAGGTGCGGTATTTTATCTCCGACTTGGAATAATAGAAATGCATAACCTTAAAGGGTATATGCCAACATATTGCATGGAATTTATCTTTAATAACATATGAATGTTTACACTTAAAATAGTATTTGATATTATTATAAAATTAACTTATTTCTATGTTGCATAAAAAATATATCTTCAGAAGCATTTGGCAGAGTAAACGAAGAAGAAGTAACTATTTGTTTAAAATTACTTGCTGATAAATATAAATACTGATATTGGAATATTAGAGATAAACGCGATCGTTATATAAAATGTTAATTATGTGAAAATATTTGAAATTATGGCTTATTAATGTCATAAAGTGCAATATCTATAGCAGCCAAAAGATTAACATTTTCCTGTACAATATTGTAACCATATTAAAAAAGCAAGCGTCATCTCATTTAGATATTGACATGGGAAATCTGAGAACCAATTAAATCGGAAACGACTACTGAGCGAAATCAAAATGAAATGGTCCCGACACCGTTTAAGTGTATTTACATGTTTTCCATTTACAAAAGTCACTAATGAAAGGGATCATACTGTGAAGCTTTTTATAGTCCATAATCTGGCACCTAATCGAAGCTGTAAGGTCTCTTAATTGCGATCTCCTGAGAGGTGAATAGTCAAATTACTTTGGTTCAAAACAGATATTTTATTAACTTTAAAAATAATTCAATTAATAAATCGAAATTATATTGCTATGATTTCTAAGAAGGTCAGAATTCTATATTATCTATTTTGCTTTTCTTATTTGAAATATTGTCTTTTATAATAATAAAGAAAAAGATAGATGCTTGGGCTATCTTTGACTCACGCTTGTTTGTATTTGGAGGATTGAACTCTTCGTTATTGATTATTTGCACGTTTATTATGATGATTAGAATTATCTTTAAATAGTTAACAATTACGTTAGTAATTATTTCACAAATTATTAAGCAATTGTTTCAAAGGTGCCATGTTCATGGCATATTTATCTTCGCCAGAGATTAGATAAACTGATATATAAATTTACGCGTTCAATGAGTATTGTATTTGCTATTGTATGTAGCCTACGTATTATATTTATCGTAGAGTAGAAAAAGAAGTAAAATGAGTTTTATTAATAAAGTAGTGCTAGTGACAGGCGCCGCATCGGGAATCGGAGAAGCTATAGCTTTGAAATTTGCAAAACTGTCAGCAAGATTAGCTTTGATCGACAAAAATGAAGCTTTACTAAAGAAATCAGCTGATAATTGTGAAAAATTGAGTAAAACTAAGGTGTTTAGAGTTGCAGTTGATCTGTGTAAAGACGAAAATGTAGAATACATGATTGAATTAACTTTAAAAGAATTTGGAAAAATAGACGTGGTTGTTAATTGTGCTGGAGCTTATAGAGATCTAAGTATACTAGACCCTAATGTGATTCAAGTTTATGACGAAATGATAGCTGTCAACTTAAGAGCTTTGGTTTCAGTGACTACAGCAGCTACGCCTGCTTTAGTTAAAAGTAAAGGATGTGTTGTCAATATTTCTAGTGTAGACGCTGCTGTAATTCTTCCGAATTCTTTAATGTATAGCGTTTCGAAGTCAGGTGTAAATCATTTCACTAAAAGTGCAGCGTTGGAATTAGCATCCTACGGTGTAAGAGTGAACTCAGTATTACCGGGTGCCGTGAAGACAAATTTACTTTTGAATTCCCATCACGTAGTAACTCAAGAAGAAAATGAAAAAAAATGGAAGTTATATCAAGAAATGTCTGCACTGAAACGCTTGATTAAACCAGAAGAGTGTTCTGATCTCGTTTCATTTTTGGCTAGCGAGAAAGCGATTGGAATAACTGGAGCAAATTTTTTAATAGATTCAGGACTAGCACTGCAACCTTAAGTTTAAACTACCAAATCAATTGAATCATATGTATATATTTATTTGTTTTTTCTGTTGAATAATTTAATTAGACGTTTGACTGTGATTTTTTGATGATAAAAGCAATTTAAGGAAATGCTTTTCATCACGTTAAGTATTTGTATCAATTTGTGCCTAATTAAGAAAAAAAAATAGAATATACGAATTATTAAATATCAACCTTCTTTTTAATCATAAGAAGGACAACCATCTTAACACTCTGAATCACAAGGTGTTCGGTTGGTCTTAATCAACGAAGGATTGTTCCAATCTAGGCCCCTCGGCGTATTATCGATTGTCGCCCAGCAGGGTGCACGACAAAAGAATCCCATTTTAAATAAATCGCACGAGACCGCGTTGCGCCGAGAAATTAGGCGTCGCGTCTCCCGCCGCGAAAACTCGTCGTAAATAAATGTCGCGATCGGCCTCGAGCTTCGTTGCAACGGCTACACTTAAAAACAATTTCTTGTTATACACTCGTTTAAGGATTTAATTACTTGAATCGCCGATGGCTTATCCCCCTCTACCTCCTGTCGCTTCGATCGCCCGCACTCTTCACACGTGATCGTAAATCCTCACTTCGTTAATGACCCAAACGCTGTTTCGCGATGAATTACCGTTTAGTCTTGTTGACTTTTTTCCGAAATATGTTTCTGATTTTAGTGAGCGTGGGCTTAGCATAATGGCCTGTAACTCTTAAGTGGCTTTTCGAGTTCATCGCGATTTATGTTTCAATAGGATGAAACATTGTATTTAATATCTGCTCTTATCTTCATGCACATCGTATAAAAAGCGTCATCTCTGATGCTTTTTTTATTGTTGTGCTATTATTCGTTTTTACATTGTTATATGTATATTTTTTTAATGAAGTTTTGCTTACTTTTCGTTTTACATATTTTAAATAAACATTGACTGCGGCATTTGATGGAATTGTATAAATAATACTATAGTTATCAAATAGTTATAATCTGTCATACCTTTTCGTTACCGAAAGTGGTTAATATTACGTGTTATCTATATTGTTATTAAGTCTTCTTTTACATTAATACCACTTAGGCAGTCGCACACGCCCATAAAGATGTGTAGTGTCGCGAACAAGTGAGCTTCGACAACGGGCGGGTCATAGTATCCGGATCAGATTCCCTTGACTAGAAGTCTTCTCCGCAACTGCGCCTCCTCACAATGCAGTCGGTACGCCATTTGTAAACATGATACTTCCGCTACAACGTAAAAGCTCTCTCGCATGTGATTGCGGCCCCTTTACTTTAATCAAATGGCTGCGACAAAGGATTGAAAAGAACGCTCCTCGATTTCGTACAAGCGATCGGGTATTGGCTGCAGAATTCCTTTTACGGATTGCCGACATTTTTTTGCGAATGCCTCAGTGAAATAGGAAGATTTCTCGTGTATGTAGTCGAATTATCGCTTTAATTTCGTGTAACTTCCCACGAATGCTGGTGCACAGTACGCCGCCGATATTTGTTTGAATGTGTTGACAAGTGGAAGAACACTTAAATGAGTAAACGCTACAAATAAATTGTAAATTATTTCAGTTGTAAATTGGTAGGAAATAAGCCTGTTTGTGGATTGAAGCTTCATAAGTATTTCTTATTTTATAAATCATGTTCTAGTTCGTTCCTTTCAGGCAAATAGACGCATTTTGACCTTTTATATTAAAATTATCGCTACAGTAGTTTTTGAAACATAAATATATCTCGTTGATGTGTTTAAAAATTTGATAAAATCACTAGATTTGTACAGAGCAATGTTAAAATCGAGTTGGTTTTTTTAACATTCCCATGATTTGATTATTCCCTTTGCAAATTGATAAAATCTCTATTCTTAATATTTTCCTGCGATGTACATTATACTTCACCTTATTTACTAAAAACCAACTATATAAGAGCTTGGTAAACACTTCTATAAAAACAAATTTACAGACAAACATCAATTGAACGAAAATTAATTGAATTTTTATCTTATCTATATAACGATTAGAATGGAAAATTTTGATTCAGAGTGACTATATCTAATCTAACTAAATTGACAATACTGACTTCTTTTATAATTTAAGCTGGAATTTACCACATTCACACATGCCATAACACTATGACAATTAATTAATTATTATTTACGAAAAATAAACGTGTTTGTAACTAATAACGAGCTAGCTTTTAGCGACGTTTATAACGACGTTAACGCGAATTTAAAATGTATTATTGATTTAGAAAGAAAAGTTCTTCCTTTTCCAGACATGAAACTGTCTCTACATCAAATTCCATCCGTCAAAATTTTGGCTGTAAAGGCATAACAGACGGCCATCGTTATTTTTGTAATAATAGTATGGTTCTTCATTGGTTACCTGGACATATTTCAACGATACGATACATTTTTCTCATTTAAAAAATATATATTAAACTTATTAAAAAATTTAAATGTAAATTTATATAAATAAATATTAGATAACATCACATACATTGCTTCGATTCCAAGATAAATCCTTCGTAATATTATTATTTATTTTGACTTAACTGTGAATCGAACTCGGGACCTCAGAGATGGCGACACCTTGATTCCAGAGTCACCCTACAGCAAAGAAGCTCTTCATATATAGTTGCTGTTAACATATAAAGAAATTGAAAATTATTAATTATTTGTGCTTAGCACAATGTAAATGTAACGTTATCTTCAACCTTAGCGTATCATATGTACATTTTTGAGTAGGAACTTTTTTGGGGTTGGCCATCAAAAGTTTAACTAGTTTGTATTTCTAGGAGATCGTTAAGATCTTATCGGTCGATCGGTTCCTCAACCCTTTAAATATGTATGGCGTTGCCTTTTCGATCCAGAATATTTTAGTTGTAACTGGTCAACGTTTTGTACTTCAACACATGTTCGGTTCTACCAGTATCGGTCGATTCTTTATTTCCAAGAGCATCTAAGTAGTAAAGTAGACAGTTTTACAACTGAGTGATTTCCGAATCATTAAGTATTTGAAAATAATGTTTTCCTTTGGCATTTTGAAATAACGTTGAATAGTGTTTGTAAATTAATAAGTATCTCAGTCAGAATATGTGAAAACTGCAGCTCAATTCGTCCCTTACAATCCAGGAATCTTTGCACCAAACTTAAATGCTCTATGTCTACACCGTTCTCCACATAAAGTTGTCGAGTGACGTTCTCGCGCTTCAATTAAGTGAGATTTATTTATCCCTACACTGTGATTCGATTCCTCAAAAGATTAACTCGGCAGGACAATTGTTCCCCAATTTTCTAAACACCTCAACAATGCTGTCGTAATTTGTTCCATCCTCTTAGCTGTTTGATTGTTTGCTTTGGGAAAACACGAGGCGTCATCGTGCAATGCCAGGGTTGTCGCTTTATATACAGCTTTCGTATTCGATATTCATTTGCTCAGATGCTTTGTAATCATTTGCAATTTGAATAGGGGAGGGAATTTAAATCATGTTGCCATTAACGTTTACGCAAACTGTGAACGTTTTACAGCGGAAATAATTATTCCCTCTGTTCTCTCTCTGTGTGTATATTCTGATTTTCAATTAATTCTATTTTCATTAGACTATTTTTGGCACATTATCATTTAATATTACATTTATTGATTCAGTGTGTTTTGTTTTTACTACGTGAACTTTTATATGAAATGCTCATTCGTTTTTTAAAAAGGTTATATAACTGGTTAGTTAATTGGGTACCGAGAACCCCGTCTTTGTTATTCATGAACCACACCCTGCGTTTATCTAAGCGGTGGCTTATTTTAAATGATAAACGATCTCCCAATCGGTTTGAATAACAAGCAAGCAGATGCTCTTAATCCCTTTGATATCATTAAACGCATGCGCCCCTTGGGCTCCTGTCGGAAATATCACTCGAGTGCAATCCTCTGTCTTCGATTCGATTATGTATTGTCTACAATAAGGTTCGTCATTGTGTTATATGGCATCATATCTGAGAAGCAACCTTTTTGAAATTTTAAAGCCTAGCAAGAGACGTGACTTTATCAAAATTATATGGATTGCCAAGTAGCTTATTGAAGATGAAAATTGATCTATTTGACAGCCAAACAACATGATGTAATCACGACCTGTGTACATCCTTTACTCCACGGAGATATTTATGAATTCCCTGTAGAGGTTATTCCGAGCTTTTACCAATTGCAGCGTCATTTATTTTATCGTTTCGGATGAACCGAGTGAAAAATCCGTCTACATTAATCACGTCGATACTGAATTACAATTTCGAAAGATCGGTAAAATTTACATAAATAATATCCTATACCCGTGAGGTACTGCGCCCCTAATCCGTCCGGGATGCCTTCGCTGTCTTCTTATAAAGATCTATGTTGATAACTGATCGTAAGACACGGTATGTAGTTGCATTGTTTCACTGTGTAATCGATTAAATATCACACGTGTTCGTACCGTTAATATTTATTTGTCGAATGTATTTCGTCGTGGATGATGGTTTGTTTGTGTGTTGTATATCGATTGATTGATATAAATGGGAATTTTAGGTGATCGCAGCGGGTTACCGCGAAGATACAAGCTGGCAGTTCACTCATCTAAAGTCATCAAACACACGAAGTCGCTCGTTGTGCCCGTTCTCTGCCGCGCTTGATGAAGTATTATCTTAGGCATGTGACTGTGATCGATTCGATTGAATCTCTTTTCGGACAGCGCAAGTTTATACCGAAGAGGCTCGCTCGAGAAATAAAGTAACATATGTAGTATTATTTTGGTTAACGATGTGCCGTTTACTTGTGTGTTTTGATATATAGCCTGCGTGTTATCACCTGTGTTATTCGTTGTTTTGATATTATTGATAGTTTTTCGTACTATTGCCGCTATGATAGTTGCTAGTCTTAATGTTTGAGGTATTCAAATTTGTAACAGCAGACTTAAAATTATTATGTCAATATATTTAAAAAAATATTGATTTATCTAAGTAACTTATTATCAGTTATACTAATTGAAAAAGAAACTAATTGATAATCAAACAAAAATATTATTTCTCTCCAAAGTTTAAAAAAAACACATAATAGAATTAATAAAGTTCGGTAATTAGGTTTGAGATTTGGTTGTGCAATATTATCAATAGTACTTAACATAATACCGAATGAAATGTTTCGAAAAACTAATTGTTACATTAATAATTAATTTTGTAAAACTTTACTGAACCTCTAATTTTAAATAATATTTTACATCATCATTTTTCAGACTCTCGATACTGCCAATAAATAGTGCGATATTAATGCATACTTATACATTTGAATTAAATTCGTTCAGTACCTTTGGTATGCTTTATTATAATATGCCTTCTAATGCCCCCACTGCTGAAGCACAAACCTTCCCACGGACCACGAAGAGAATTACTCAGGACTATGGGGTCTATTAGACATACCATCTACTAATAAAACTTTAATTATTGTTTATTTATCAAACTCTGAAAATGTCCATTCTACATAATATATAATCGTTCAAATGTATCCACATACATACACAACGCTAAGTGCGTTAATTCACTTTAAAACTGAAATTTTTCTTACTATTGTTATCAACAGTGACTATTGTTAAAATTAAAGATATTAATACTTTCAAAGTTGCTTTGAATTTTTCCTCTTCGTAGACTAGAAAGCCATTAGTCGATTCTTCGCGCCATCCGCAGTGTGATTCGGACTATACGTTACTGCGTTTCGTGTCGTCGTTTTAATAATTCCACACGAATTAATAAGCCTTAGCCACGCCCCAAGGCGTCTACACTATGATTAATATACTAGCATAGTCGACTACCGGGTGGCGATGAGACGCTCCCACTGCCCCTCCACGCCTCACGAACTTAGCTCAATTCACATACACATTATTTATATCGATTACGTATGCCAATGCGGTCGTATATCAATCCAAGTGTTAATATTTAAATAATAACGTCAGATTATAAATTGTTTCTAGTTAGACACTTTTAGTGTACGTTTATAACGAGATAGCATAATTCATCGGTAGTTTAAATAGTTATTACAAATGGCATATTAGAGAACTTGATCACGATTTTAGGGGAATTTTAATAGTTTGTGGCTAGATCACCTAAAGTTTGGGTGGAATTTGTAAACTGTTCGTTGCCTGTGTTTCGGGGTCTTTGATTTTTTTGTAAGTGTTTTTAGAAAAACTCATTCATATAAAAAAAAATGTTTCTAATTATTATATTTGATCAATTTTGCATTCACGATGCTATACTGGAAAATATTCTCAAAGAAAAATGCTTAAAATCCATCCCCGGTACTCTGAGATGGGATCCCTCTTTGGTACCAGGAGTAAAGTGGCTTTTTAAGTATTTTTCATTAAAAATGTTTCTATTTTATATCTAATTGGTACCGATGATCGTTGTTACAAATGGCATGTTAGAGAACTTCATGACGATATTCAAAATTATGGTTTTACTGGAACGTTCAACTCCGTCGGCTTTGAAAACCTAATCAGCTGCATATTCGTGATCAGTCGTTATAAAATACTTCACTATAATAGTAATATTGCCACCACGTATATCGGCGCCACGACGGTCATTGGGATAAACGTATTTTAGAGTAGAGACACCGTTTGAGTAAAACAAATGTTGTTTGACCACCTGCTCGATGGAAGAGGGGAGCAGAAAATAGAGCTGTTTGAAAAGAGATTGGAGAGGCGTATACCCATCGGTGAGCGACCACATGCTGAAAAAGAAGATTAGTAATACTTGTCATCATATGATCAGTGACAACAATC